GGCATTTTATGCCCTAGACTGCGCTGTCACTGTGATCGGCCACCCTTACACATAATATATATATATATATATACGTCGTTACTGAATTGTCTATCTAAAATAGATCCTTCTTTTATAATTGTATGACTAATAAAATATCTGTATTGAAATATAAATTGAAGGTGTATCGTAAATAAACGTACGTTACATTAATATCAATTATATTTATTATTGTGTTGCCGGCCATCAGAATATTTTACATAAAATATACACAACAGGATAAAAAAAAAAAGCAAAGGCTTTAAGTTTCTTGAAAAGGTGATTAACTGTCAGATTGGCCGCGCCATAGCTCAAGCGGTTAGTCGCTGACTTCCCACCACGGCGTCCCGGGTTCGATCCCGGGTCTGGTTAAGTGGGATTTGTGGTGGATAAAATGGCGCTGGCGTGGATTTCCTCCGAGTACTTCGGTTTCCCCTTCCAATCTTCACTCCACCAAATTCTCCATCATCATAATCACCCGGGGCAGGCTACAATAGGCCAATCAGTGGCCGCCGTGCCGAGTGGACCCAGTTGGACTCCACCCCCACTAAGCGAATTAAAAAAAGTGTCAGATTCTATTCCGTTACGAATTAGACTTGAAATTACGAATACAATTCCTGCGTTAAGACTACGATGAACCCGAGCTCTAGAACATACTAAGATAGCTCAGTGAATTGATGTCATTTACAGCAATTGGCTCTGAAACATTCCTTAGCAACGAATTAATTAGCTATCAGAACGTTTCCCTCGGGGGCAATTCAAATTATATATGATAACACCAGCCCAGTCCTCAGTGGGATTGTAATTAACCCTGCGAGTCTTACAGGAAAAGTTAATTAAATTTCCAAATTGCTTCCTAATATACGAGTATGTTTAGCATTGGTTACCGATAAAAAATATCGATTTGAAATTTTGTAACTTCCCCGTCTTTATACGAATTCAGAATCAATACAGCAAGAATTCTGATATAAGCAGATGTTGGACTGAGACCGAATTATACTTTAATTGAAAAGAGTTCAAGACTTTGGATACGTAACCAAATTTTGAGGAAACCCTTCTTCCATATTACAGTGGAATCAATTTATGTAGCTTTACCAGGTAATTTTAAAATTCATCATTGAATCTAGCTTTGTTTAGAATTATTTTATTTTTAAAATAATTCCTTTATATTTTTACAAACAGAAAGAGGCTTATGAGATCGCCTCGTTTTCTGTGTAATCTCCCCTAATTTCTCCGTTTTCAATGTTGTTCATATCGTATTAAAGGAAAGCAGGCGATTAATTTATGGTTTGTTCAACGACGCTGTCAGTTGCACGCGTTATATCGTGATAAATAATATTGTCGCATGTTTTTTAGGCAACGCAGCAAGAAATTTTCTGGGTCTCGGATTTGGACGAATATTTATTGGACATTCACTCTTTACACTCACAAATACGATTATTCACACTTATAACGTCTTCGGACGTTTCCTCTTCAGTGTTATACACTCTCGCAACGCTAATCTCGGTGAAGTGTCTTCTGCTCTGCTCGGAGCTCAACTGTTTTTAGCTCTCGTCGACTACGAACTCTACTGGTCTCCCCAGTCCAAGTCCAAGTCCAAGTCACATTGCGACTGACGTTCAGTCAGTCAGTCAGTCAGTCAGTCAGTCAGTAAGTCTTGGTGTCGAGCCCCATCTGGGGCTCATGACCAGATATTAATTATTACAGTTTGTCAGTTACGGTTTTGTTTCTGTGGGGCGCCCTCTCTGACGAGAGGACGGGTCTGTCTTTTGTATATGCTGCTGGCCTTTGTCAGAGCGGTCTTTCTCGGGTCCGAGTACCTTGGGACTCGTGACCATATTTTACTGTCTCAGAATTGAGATTTTCTGTTTCGTCGCCTCCTACGGCTCGCAGGGTCACGGTGAAGGTATTCGACCCCGCCCCCACACGGGATACTAACTGGTCCCTTGCCGAAGTTGAACTGTTATATCCTGCACTCGGACTGAATAGGGAACACCTTGTCGAAGGTTTAATTTCGCCCCCTGCTATGCAACGAATCTCTTGTTGCCCCGGGAATACGTGTCTGCCTCAAACAATTCGTTACAAATAACGGTGGAAACCCCACCGTTAGACTTTCATCTCCGGGGCAACGATTTCCTAGTCAGCGATTCTCCTAGCCGTTGACTAGTGATGGACGTCTTATAGTCCAGCTTTCAGGCAGCACGTCGCAGTATGATGGCTATTAATTAATTGCAAAGGATTTAGATGGAAGTGGTAATAGTCTGACTTGAGGTACTATTCCAGTATTTTTGTAGACAGACTAAGGAAGGATATAAAGAATCTGCCACACCCACCCGTCTCCACGCCGAGATTTGATCCCAGGACCTCCCCGAAACGTAGCAGAAGCGCCACTCGCTCGACTGCGGCATTCACTTGAACTGCAGTCAGTACTTCGATTCATCTATAGCTTTCGATGGAGGTCTGGTAATTACACAATCTGTGGTTTTTCAGTACGTCTTACAGGCAGAAGTTCCCCTTCGTTTATTTCGCATGTCGACGTGAAAACAATATCCATGCCTACAGAACAGACACGATACGCTGAAACAGAAGACTGCTCACTCGTTCGTGACCTAGTACGTAAATTATATTCATGTAACTTGTTAGCGGCTGTCAGTTCGTTGTTATGATAACCCTCGACTGCGTAATTTCAGAGCTTTCACCCCACTTTCGCATTTCTTTTTATGTACAGACGGAGATTATTTTCACATGAAAGTACATCAGTGCTGGCAACCTAAAATTACGACTTGGCGATGTAGAAATTAAAACTGGCATTTTGGGGGTTAACTTGTAAATGAATTGTGGATTAGAGATCGTAGCAACCCCTTTAGAAGCAGACGTGTGTGTGTGTGTGTGTGTGTGTCATTTAAAACGCTAACCTTCCTTCTATTCCCCTTGTTCCCACTTGGAACATAGGGCATCCGTGAAACGCTTTGTTTCGCTTTAGTTTCTTAATGTAAAACAGTCGGTAGGACTCCTTGGATGGGGGATCAGGCCGTCACAAAGCCTCTATCTAAAAATTCGCTTAGTGGGGGGTGGAGTCCAACTGGGTCCACTCGGCACGGCGGCCACTGATTGGCCTATTGTAGCCTGCCCCGGGGGATTATGATAATGGAGAATTTGATGGAATGAAGATTGGTAAGGGAAACCGAAGTACTCGGAGAAAACCCGCCCCAGCTCCACTTTGTCCACCACAAATCCCACTTGACCAGACCCGGGATCGAACGGCTAACCGCTTGAGCTATGGCACGGCCTCAGCCGCTGCCTAACACAAACAGATATTCATGCCTTGAGTGGGATTCGAACCCACGATCCCAGCGCACGAGCGGAAGAAGACATTTCATGCCTTAGACCGCGGGGTCCCTGTGATCGGCTTAAAACGTGTATAGTTGATACAAATCGGGGAAGTCCTGTCGTCACCGTTTGCTTTTATTTAAGTACAATTCAAGTACGCGGAAAGCGCGACAACATGAAAGCCAGTCTCTCCACTGTGTTACACGTGAAACGTACAGCTTCTGTGACGTCATTCCTTGTACGTCACTGGGCTCTATGCTATGTAATCGGTAAATATCGAACTGCAATGCATTTCAGGAGGAGCTGCACTGAGGTTTTCGATTGTTGGCAACGAAAAGTTGCAAAGTAATCCTCCTATTTTAGTCATATTGTCTGTCTGTCCGTCTATGCATATGCGCCAACTCAACAACTGCTGAAAGCCTTTTCATAAGCATTTGATATTGGCTGGTTCAACTATAGTTTCTTGACACACTCAAACTTTGGTTTAAATCGGGCAACAGCAACAAATATTACCCATGGAAACCAAAATGTCTTTTTTTTTTACCAATGGAAAAGGNCTGTGTTTTGTGTGTCGTCAGCAGAGAGGGGAGGGGGGGGGGGGGAATCAAGAAATTTTGCATAAAAACTGAAGTTGCAGCCATTTTGTATTTCAGGTTCTTCCGGCTGTGAACATGAAGAGTGCAGTTTCCTGAGTTTAGGTCACCATCTGCTTCTGTTGGATTCTGATTGTCATACTTTCCGACCATTATGATGATTCGAAATTTCGTGATTTCTCCAAACTACAAGGCGTCACAACCCAGAAGACCGTACTCTGTAAGTTTAAACCAATTAAGACTGTTTTTATCGACCGCAGTAGAATATTTCTTAAGATAACTTTTATTATTTGGTATTAACCTTTGGTGACCGCCTCTGGGGTCTAGTGGTCAGAGTTCCTGGCTACAGATCCAGAGATCCGGCTTCGATTCCCGGCGCTACTAGATTTTTTGAGAAGTATTGGATCTGGAACGGGGTCCACTCAGCCTCGTGAGGATAATTGAGGAGTTATTTCAAGGAAATTAACGGTCGTGGGAATTCGTTGTGCTGACCACTCGACACCCTCTATCCGCTAACGTTGGCACTAACTTCACCAACAAGCGGCAGTCGCTCGGTTGGTATAGTTCGCTTGCGGACTAAAACCACGGTGTTTGTTTTGTTGTTCTTTTATTAACATTTGGTATGTGTATTTCCTTACTTTATCAATTTCAGTTGTTTAAAAAATTTCGTCGAAGGGATGGGGGTGGGTAGCAGACACCTGGCTTTCTCCCCGTTGCAATCCCCCATGTCAATGTCTGATTTCCTTTCCGTCAGCAGTTTCTAATTTGTCTGATGCATAGTAAATCGTTTAGCTACAGACAGCGTTGTAAAATAACATACATAAAATGAGAAATATGTGTTTACACACAGACGGACGGACGGACGGACGGACGGACGGACGTACATAGGACTTTTTTAACAGTCGCTTCAGGGATGCTTACGCGCTGAAAAAAGGAGTTAGTGATTTGCCGGGGTTGTTACTAGTAAATTCTGTTGCTGTACCGTTGGCTACCCTGATCGCTACGAATAATGGCGAAAGACAGCGAAGTGTTACGAATGTAGGACGCCAGGGAGGGCCCCTGGCGCAGTCATTGCTTGGTCTGTATGTGGCACGGTGAAGAATAGGTTAGCTGCAGCTGGTGATAGCTTTGTGTACATTTGTTATTGCTACTGATTAGTGATATCGCTACACGTGAATCTCAATCAGCTGTCACGTCGGTATCGAATGTGTTGTGATTAACTGTTTTGAGTTCGTCTTTTATTCAGAACATTTCCTAGTGTAGTTTGATGTCTTCATTGTAGCTTCTCTACCTGGATTGGTTGCCAGTGTTTGTAGGACAGTCTGAACGCCTATTGAAGGTGAGTGGAAAAGTTGTAACGTAAGTTTTTAATTTTTTTATGCCTGTTAAATATCAGATTGATGGAGCTAGAAACACAGTGGACTGCGTTTAGTCCTTGAGAAGTAAGAGAAATGTCCATGCTCCCTGACGCTGTCAAGTGTTACCGAAAGGCTAGCGACGTGTCTGTAGAGGCCGTTTTCATAGTCGCAGAATGCTTGGAGAAGAGTCCAAGAAAAACTAATTTAATTTAATGGACTTAAATTACTGTACCAGTTTGTAAGTAAAGTAAAGTTATCTCTGCTCTTAATTAATTAAACACGACGCCAGGAGGACACGTGAGAGAGTGGAGGAATAGCTCCACTATTTTTAACTTCGGCACTAGATGGAGTGAGTGGTCACCTTCACGCTCCAGTCTTTTTACCCCCGGGTAAACAACCGCGGTACAAATTACATAGGAGGCTTGGTGGGCCTAAGAGGCGGTCTGGACGCTGTGGACAGGAGAGAAAAAGTCCTATCCCTGCCGGGAATCGAACCTCAATACCTTGGTCGCTGAATCCATAGCATGCTCTCGCTATACTGACTGATCTCTCCCGGCTCCGTGTCTGGATATGCTGGGCCACACTGTGTAAAGATGAAGGAAATGAATATGAAGATGCCTGTGCTCTGGGATGTGGCGTCATCTTGTTTGGTAGCATTGTATGAACGTTTTTAAGGCGAAATCTGCTGCTTCCACCTTCAGGGAGAAAGAATTCAAACTTTTCGGACGAGCATGCTGCCTCCATCTTCAGGATAGACTAGTCATTCTTCTACCCTGAAGATGGGTCCTCCGAAACGCTGGTGCCTTTCCACGAAACTACACGGAGTCACATCTCAGAAGACAACAATATAGTTTTCCTAATTTTGTTGAGAATTCGATCCGAGATGGAGAATTAGGCTCTGCTCCGAATTCTGGAGCCATAAAATCTGGAAGTTATCTTACGTTCGACTTTCGATTGAAAATACAGAATAAATTTCTGTACGTAGAGTCATACGAAGAGCGGTAAACACATAACGTGGGCGTGGAGGGAAGGCTCCACATATTCCTAACGTCGGCAGTAGATGTAAATAAGTGGTGAGCTTTACATGCCGGCCGCTTCACGACCAGAGTCGCTTCAATTTAATTATTTCAGCATACATTGAAACTCTTAAAAGGGGATGTCACACAGTTTAGGCTGGTACAGGTTAGAAGAACGCACTGCTTCCTTCTTCAGGGTCGAAGAGTAAGGCAGCAGACAGCTTGGAGTGAGGTCTACTCTGCTGGCTGCTTGCTCGGGAACATTGAAATACTCGCGTGCCTGTTCAAACGTGCCCACCAGTTTGAGAAACAATTTCCAATGTTCGTGTGGGTTGCCTAACATTTAGCGATTGAGGGTTCAATGATGTGTCAATTTGTGAACTACAGAAAGCGTTACAGTAACATCATTACTGCGCAAATGTACTCATAACCGCGGCCCCTATGACAACGCTCTTGTCGTATGGGCCATCGGCAGTTCTCACAATTATTGTGTTTTTTCTCAGTCTCTCCAAGTAAATATCGGAATACAGAGATATTGGGTTTTCGGACTTTATCCATCGTCCTGGTTTTTAAGATAACTAAGAAAAACACGACGTTCGGAAACTGGATCTGTTTCCGTCCTCAGGTGAGGGGAAAACACCTATTCTGTTGGGTCCCTCAGACGCAGTGATTGGTGTTTTTCCCTCACCTGAGGACGGAAACAGATCCAGTTTCCGAACGTCGTGTTTTTCTTAGTTATCTTAAAAACCAGGACGATGAATATAGTCCGAAACCCAATATCTCTGTGTGTTATACACCATCGTTAGAATCCTGTATTAAATATCGGAATAGTACGTCGTTTAGGCCATGACCGTTTCCTTCTGAATCCTTTCTAAGTCACCACTCTTCAGTCACTATAACCATTCGACGCTATGCAGTATCGATATGGAGAGCGCCTTTAAATACCTGCGGAAAAGCAGTCAATTCCAGTTTTCCTTCAAAAAACGAATATTTGTATTAATTCGCCATGGCCGGTCACGGTAGCCGAGCGGTCTAAGGCATGTACTGTCTTCGCTCGCTTGGAAACCGGGATCGTGGGTTCGAATCCCACTCAGGGCATGGAGGTTTAGTTTGTGTGTGTGCGTTTTTCTGTGTTTGTGTACAGGTAGAGGCCTTGCGACGAGCTGATCACCCGCCCAAGGAGTCCTACCGAACGTGTAAGATCTAGAAAAACCGAAGTGAACGGAAAAGTTCATGGAGGTAGGCCTAGGCCCACTGGGGCTGTAGTGCCAAGGAAAAAAAATTAATTCGCCATCATCATTAGTCTTCGAGGTACAGAGGGTGACGGACGGATGGAGGGATACGTACTAGGAATACAACCACACTGTAGCATACAGACCCGCTGCTAAAGTAATGACTGTAAACTACGTAACACATTCCTAACACGGCGCCAATGGACTGGCTAGAAACCGGTGTTTTCTGTTCGGTCCATGCCTGTGTGTTATAAGTATGACAATGGAGCGAGATGAGTTGAGTGCAATGGAGAGAAGTGAATTAATGACCAGTTAGAGGACTCCTGCAATTCGGCCGTTCTGAGCTGTTGCTGTAAGAAGCTGGTAGCTGACGCACGGGTATAGTTCGGGAACCCAGAGTAAGCAGAACGTTCGCCGTTGGAAGTCGCTACCAGGCAACGGCTGATGAAGACACAACATCTTCTATATGTAATAATACGTCGTGAATGCAACAATTTATTTGGTTGTAGAGCTTTGTCTTTTCTTCCTCTACACTACATGTTTCGACCGTAATTGGCCATCATCAGGTGTATTTTTCACTACGTAGCTGTCACACTGCACACAGTCCAAAATCTTAAACATCAGCCTGTCAGTTTTGTTTTAAAATCTCGCCATCACCCGCTCGTCAATTTGATTTTAGAATTACAGTTTAAAATTTCCAAAATTTAATGTTTTAAATACCAGGGACACGTGCTCTTGTCTACATGTGTTGCATCGGCTATTTCTTGTTTTCAGCACCGTTCATGTACAAGTATTATCTGTAATACACAAATATTCGTATTGCTATCCTGTGTTCCTACGTTATTCTTATATGTTTCATACTGTTGTGTGTACTTACTCTGTGCAAACTCCCTGTGTATGTGTCGCTGCTCATCTTTAATACTTTTGTCGTCTGGTGTGTTGTGTGCTGCGTTTTTACGTTATTGAATGTAGGAGAAGGAAGGGGTAGTGGAGAGGGGTGGATACCGTTGGTCTGTATAGATCTCGTATATTGAAGCAAGCAGTCTTCTGGGATTTGGCACCGTGTATATGTGGTGTTAACCGACGTTTCGGAGGAACGTATCGCCTCCATCTTCAGGGTAGAAGGAAAAATATAAGAAATCCGTAAGGGAAGATACCGCACCGTTCATGTCTCAAGAAGCTCTTCCGGATAAACATTTTCTTTTGAATAACGACATTTGACGACAGAGAGACTGTATTGACAGGCACACCTACTGTAAGAGTTGCAGTACCTGCAACCAGTGCGTGGATGGCTCTATCGGCGCTTAACCTGACGCAGCATCGTTACGATTTTACTGTAGGCCTGTAGACATGCACACTGTTTTCTGCCAGTCATTTCTGAGAGTTTCCAACAGAAGTGACTGCAGTCCTATGACGCTGACTTCCTGACTCAAGGAGGGAAGTGGTCAGATGCTATCTCGAGTTGTCCCAGCTGTGGCCGAGAATTGAGAAAGCCAAGATAGCTGAGTGCGTGTAGTGGCTAGGTTACGCGCTACACGGACTAGTAACTGGAGTTCGATTCCCGGCAGGACTAAGAGACTGTTCACAGTGTCCAAAATAGCTCTGAGATCCATCCACGGTCCTATGGCATGGATACAGGGGTTCTTTCACCGGAGGTAAAACGGTCAGGGCGTGATACTAACCACCTACCTCCATCTAATAAAAGTAAAGTTGTGATTGCGCTTACCTAAGCACTACGCCATGAAGGCATGTGGGGGAGTGGATGTATAGATCCACGTTTTCTTGACCTCGGCACTAGTTGGAGGTGAGTGGTCAGCTTCACACGACCGCTTTACCCCCGGTATCCATTGGATAGGCTGGGTGAGCCGTCTGGACGATGTGGAGAAGTGAAAATTCTTGCCCCCACCGGGACTCGAATTCCGACCACTCGGTCATCCAGCCCTAACAACGTTGTCAGTACCGAGACCTTATAGCGTCTTAATGGTGGGAATATTGGTGAACTGGAAAGGATCTGGAAGGTACCGGTTCTGGCCTGATCGACGTGCATTTGCCTTGAGGTACTGAGGAAAACCACAAAAATTCTTGTCAGAATAGCCAGGATTTGAAGCGAGCACCCGCCGAATTCAAGGCTGGAACGTTACTGTTAGACCAACCTGTTTGGGGTGGACTGCCAAAACCTGTGGGCTTGTTGCAGTTGGTTCTGTATTTGTTTTCCTCATCGCCGAATAATGGATTGGATCGTTGCATGTTACAGTCGCTGTGATATCCTGTGTTGATAATCGATATGAAGAGGTAGATTTGTCCCTGTGCTTGCTTAATTAGGCATTGTACCATGAAGACGTATGGGGAGTGGAGGTATAGCTCCACAGTTCTTGACCTCGACACTAAAAATGGAGGTGAGTTGTCAGATTCACGCTCCGGCCTCTTTACCCCCGTGTAAAGTGTCCCAGGTATTCATTGGATAGGAGTTTGGGTGAGCCCCAGAGTACGCTGTGGAGTAAAAAGTCTCTTACCCCTACCGGGAATCGAACGGCGGCTGTCTATTCCGTAGTACGTCGCTATACCGACTTAACTGACGAAGACCGTACATTGCTGTTCTGCGAGTGAGGGATGTGTCGCTCTCGCGGGGGCGGTTGTGGAGATTACTGGCTTTCGGGGATATTGCACCAGTGTTTCGGAGACACCTGCCACTGACATCTTCATGGTAAGCCGTGCGTTGTCAAGGCGGTGATT